CCTGGGCCAATGGCACGAAGGAAGAAGACATCTACTCTACATAACGCCTCAAAATAACGTTAGGCAGTTCTGCATGTACTGTTGGGAGGACTAAAGCCTTTACACGTGTAAGGTGGTGAGAGGCGAGTACTGCCACTTGTGCATGGAAGGAACAGCAGAAGTAGTGCGCGCATGATCTTGAGGCTGCATGGCAACGTTGAAATAAGGAGGAAGGCGAACGGTAAGAGGTTTATGGCAACTTCTTTCTGAAAAGAGACACTCCTCCTCTCTCACGTCTTCTTCTTAAGTGAACTGAACTTTGATCGTCGAGGGTTATCCGGCATACCACCGCGGCCAGCTCCACCGTTTCTGTTGCCAGGTAGAACGCCGTCAAGAGAAGCTCAGAGTACCAAGGAGTACGGAAAGCTGAGGATATTTCGCCCCCGTACAATTGGCGCCGTCTGTGGGAAGTTTTTTGATACTCACTCCTTGTTCTAGAGCTTCTTCGACTATTTCCATGGCCAACAACGGCGAAGCCCCTCTTGTCCGTTCGTCGATGGCGTACCTGAGTACGTCCGCTGAAGAGAAGGTCCTCTGAATATTCCCAGCCTAATGGCAGGCCTAGAAAACTCTTTCGCGAGTGCGCGAGACAAACGCGGAAGGAGTGCCGATCGCTCGCAGAGTCCTAGGGGCCGCGACGTGAGCCGGGGGGAGTCCCATGCACGCGCCTGGAGCACAAACTCAAGGACCAGACGCGTATTCGCAAGATGGCGGCGGAGATAGGCTGCTAAACGCAGATCAAAGAGAAGGGTGTGCTGGAAGAGGGCAACTCAGTGAGCGGCACCCCGTCCTCGTTGGAGCAGTCGCCGCAGGGGAGGACCCACCTCTCTCTCCATCACCAGGAACTATGGGGTTGGGGGCTCTAACCAGGGGGAGAGCAGGTCCTCTCTCGGCGACAACACATACCGCCCCTCCAGCCCGACGAGCCGACCGTCGGGATCCTTTTTCTCTACACGTTCCAAGGGACTTTGAGGGACTGTATTGGAAGAGAGGGCGGCGCTGTCCCGGAAAAGACTCGAAGAGTGCCGGCATTGCAGAGGTTAAGTGCCCTAGTGGTTGCAGTGAGAAGTGGCGATGCCACCCGCGCCAGAGTTGATGGCCCCCTGTTGCTGGAGGACAAAGAGCTGGCGCGACTTAAGCCACACACTGTCTCCAAAGATTGGAGTACGCCACCCCGCGATTCCACCAGCCAAAGTTTCACTCTGTACGACGGAAAACGGATCCGTACATGCACGTGAAGGTCATTATCGCGGGTGATGCTGGCCACCGGCGCAACGACGCTTGATGTGTCCTATATTCCTAGCAGCCTAGGGAGAGCTGGGTCTAAAGTGGGTTTGAAAAGGCTCCGGAGGGGAGTATATGAGGGTTGGCACAGCTAGCAGAAGCCTTCGTCACCAGATTCAAGACCAAACCTTCGAGACGCCGAAAGGAGTCGACCATACTCCTGGGCGTCAGATGGAGTCTGGGTGTTCATTGAAGGCAATACAATGCGAAGTACTTGGAAAACTTACAATGAGATCCTCGACTGCCCCACCAATCTGGCGATCACTAGTACAAACGGGGTTCCCGTAGGACAGTAGGCTGCGAGATTCACTCACGTGCATCAACCTACAACCTATGGAGTCGTTGATGCAGCGGATCAATGAGCACTTCGTGTGGAGGATGATACCGGCCCTCCGCGACCCGAGAAGGTTATCCGTCGCCCGGCGGATAGGGGGTCGCGGGGAAGGAGTCCACTCGAATTGGGCAGGAGAAATAGCCGCCAAACAAACAAGTCGAAAGAACAGCGCCATGGTCCAAACGTGATGACAGAAACAAGGGGCGGCCCGAAACGACGGGCATACCCTCGCCGTGATGCAGCGGAGATGCAAAGAAAATTGGAAGGCGCGGACTGGGATCACCACGGTGTTTTAAAAATCCCCATCTACCGCATTCTAGCGAGATTCAATAGCGAACCCTTTCGTCGTTGGCCGACCAAGTTGGGGAGTCCAGAGAGCTTCAACTAAAAATATCGCTGCATCCTTTCATGAAGAACGGGGGCACCGAACAAAAGGACTGCCTGCCGCTCAAGCAACCTTAGAGGAGTTGGTAGCTGCGGGGCATCTTGACAAATACATAGATGGGGGCAATCCAAGGCCACGCCGGCAGACCAAGTCGAGCCAAACGGCCTGGCCGCCCTAGAGGCGCCTCCGCAGGTGTAATCAACGTCAATCCACAGGAATCATTGAATCGGCCAGGGTTTGCGAGCTGAGGGGGATGATCAAGAAGGCCGAGCACATGAGGGAAAGTGCTTTCCTGTTCCAGCCAGTGTGAAGAAAGGGAAGATCGAAAAAAGGGACATCCCTTTCATTCTCATCCAGGACTTGGAAAGAGTTCAGATGCCGCACAACGACGCCTTCAGTCAGTCACTCTTCGCGTCAAGGACTTGATATCAAGAAGAAATCTTGATCGATCAGGGGAGTTGTGAAAATCGGATGTATTATGACTGCGTTAAACAGATGAAGTTAGAAGACAAGGACTTGGCCCCTCGACCTCTCCTTTTTTGGTCGGTTTTCACTCACAGCCGGAGTGGCCAATCGGAAAGATTATTTTACCGTCAACAGCAGGTTCAGTAGTAAGGCCAGTGGAAGTTTCTGGGTGCTCAAAAGTTCCTTCCACCTACAACTTGATCTTAGGTAGGGGCTAGCTGCACGCCATGCAAGCAGTTGCCTTCGACCTTGCCACCAAGTCATCGCGCTTCCGGCGTCGAGCGGGCAAGTAGAGGAGTTTGGGAGAGCCAGGTGATGCAAAACAATGCTTCGTTTGCGGTAAAATGGTAAACCGAGCAGCAAAGGGTTTTGTCCAAATGAATCGAGGGGGCCCGAGGAAGATGAGGTCCTTGAAGACGTAGGAAGGAAGGCCGAGGAAAAAATCGGTCGAAAGAAATTTGTGGAAAGTGCGCTTGAGACGAAACGATCCAAACTAATTCTTCCTCTTGGGATACAATCTTTGTCTAGCGCCTGAGCGAAGTGGATTATGCAATTCTTGGTTTCCAATTTGGAGGCCTTTGCTGGACGCCTTAACGACATGCCTGGCGTGACGGCCGAGCTTCATCTGTCCATCAGTTGAATGTTTTCCCCAATGCACGGCCAGTCATTCAAAAGGACGCGCCGTTCGCCTGCACCAATGGCTGAAGTGGTGGTGAAAGAAGTAAAGAACTTTTTGTTGGAAGCCGGGGTATAGAAGAAGTCAATACCCTCGGTGGATATCCAAACGGTGGTTGTTCCAAAGAAAATGGGCAAGTGGCAGTCTTGCGTTGAACTACAAGAACTGTCAACCGGGCTATAGTCCTAAGGATAGCTTTTCCCTTCCTCGGATTGAACCAGCTGGTGGATCTTGACGCTGCCATCAGAGGTTTGCTTCCTGGACACTTGTCGCGACTACCACCAGATAGCCATGCATAAACAAGACAGAGGGGGGGATGGGAAAAATGGTAGATAATCGTTCACCACCCCAGAGGAATTATATTGTTACAAAGTCATGCCGTTCGGGCTAAAGAACGCGAAGCAACTTCAGCGGATGGTTACTAAAATGTTCGCTCCTCTCTGGGCCGAACAATGGAGGCCCCTACATCGACCGATATGGTGGTAAAGAGTAAGGAGAAGTCTGAACACCTTCACCGACCTAGCAGAAATGTTCGCCATACTTAAGCACCAATAAGCTTCGTCTGAACGCCTCCAATGCGCCTTCGGAGTTGGCACTGGGAAAAGTTTCTGGGTTTTCCCTGGTTACAAAGCCGAGGGATTGAAGCCGACCCATCCCAGATCAAAGCGATACGCTGAGCTGGAGCGGCCCAGAATTCTACAAAGGACGTGCAACATCTTGCAGATGGCAGCTGCGCTGAACAGATTCAATCAGCCTGGTCTCGATCGTTGCAGGCCTTTCTTCAAAACTCTGAAGTCAGTTCTTCTGGGATGAAAAGTGCGACCGTGCACTGGCGGACTTAAAAAGCGTATCTCTCTCAAGCCCCAATTTTGGTCCACGCCTCAACCAGGGCGAAGAGCCTATACCTCTACTTGGATGTTTCTCAAACAGAGCACGCGTGAGCGCGGTATTAATTCGTGCTGAAAGGCATCGAAGACAACCTACCAATCTTCTATGTAAGGCAAGACCCTGCTCCCTGGCGCAGAAAAAAAGATATCTTCCCTTGGAGAAATTGGCGCTTGGCCCTATGATGGCGTCGAGAAAGCTGGCACACATAATTTCAATGCCATACAATAGTTGTGCCTGACCGAAATTCCTCTCAAGGTGCTCTTTGGAGAAAGGCCGACTTCACCGGGGGATTCTGAAGTGGGCCGTGGAATTGGGGCAGTACGACATCAGGTTCCGGCTCCGCACCGCGGTCAAAAGCTCAAGCTCTTAACAGATTTTGTGGCGGAAATTCGCCCTTGGGACGCATTTTACCAGTTTGCCCTGATTGATTTGGTTGGTGGCGGATTTAGCAACACCCAAGGTTTTTGGGCAACGGAGACAAGGCCGTTGGCTCACACTGGGAAAAGGGCAAAGTTTGACCGAACTAAGCAAAGTCCGACAAACTTCGTTGGAAGATGAACCCAGTGGAGACGAGAAAAAAGACCAAAGCGAGCCAGCCAAAAGACATAGGATTTTTTTTAATTATTTAAAATCAAAAAATTAGAAATTTTAGTTTGAGATATTAGAGCTCCCACAAAACTTGTGGTTAGAAACCTCCTTTTACTTATATAATTTTGGACTTAAAATTTTTGATTAAATCAAATTATTTATTTATTTATTTTATTTATTATATATATATATATTATACACCCTTAACATATTTATTACACCACTGCTCACTTTCTAAAATTAACAAACTCTTAACCACCCCCAACAAATATTTTTAAATCTCACTTTTATTACTTTTTGTCATGCAACACGCTTTAACAAATAATTTTAGCTATCCCATTTGGATGCCCTACGGAGGAGGTTGCAAGAAAACCTGAGGCTGCACTCTTCATAGCACGGAGAGAGAGAGAGAGACAGAGATGGAGAAGTACTTTGGGAATGCGTACAGAGGAGACCCGGGAGTTCCACACGCCGACCCAGATCGTTTCGTAAACATCTGGATTGGATCTTTCGCTTTCTCTGCCCTCACTTGGGTCAATCCTTACATGTGGCAGCTCTCTAATCAATTCAAGTACTCTCTCTCCCCCTTGGTTTGTGTTCTTTACTATTATGAGTCAATTCTTTCTTTTTGATGAATTCTGTTTAGGTTTTATGTTTCTCTTAACAGATTTGTGTATTTTCCCGATATGGGTCATTTTGAAAAGGAATTTGTGGTTAGGGTTTATGTTTTCCCAACAAATTTCAGTGTTTCGGCTGAGTCTGTAGCACAATCTCTCTCTCTTTTTTTTTTTGCGCGTGTGTGCGGATTATGAATTAGTAGTGTTGATTATTACACTCTGTTTGGATGCGGTGATTTAGTGTGAAATTATAAGAAATAATGAGAAAGATAACTCTTTTCTCATGTTTGGTTTATAAGTTGAGTGAGAAATGGTGAGAATGGATGAGAAATGGTGAGGAAGAGAGCTCCCTTACTAGGCTTATTTCATTTGTCACCAAAAGTTGTGAGATTTGGTGAGAAACAAATTGATTGATTTGGTTGTAAAATATTTATAATACCAAGATTCCCCTTAAAATACAAATGAAGAAAAAAGAAATCTCACTCATGTCCCATTCTCACATCGTTTGCCGTCTTGCTCATCCAAACGTCATCCAAACATGATAGTGGGAAAACACAACCATTTCTTTTCTTTTCTCTCCCTATGATCGAAATGGAGTGTTAGTTACCATTGATTCTTTAAATAAGGTTAGAAAAAACCCGAATAAATTTTGTTTGAATATTTGTACATTGTAGTTGTGACCGCCGACTATCTATAAATGGTAGACCAATTAAACTTTCTTGTTGTAAATCATAATATGTGAATTCTTAATTGACTTGATTTCAAAGGCATGATTAAAATAATAATTTGTTGAAGTTCTTCCAGGCTTGTTTGGATTTTTATGGAAATTAATTTGTCATATTGCATCTATTATAGACATTTTTTGTGCAAATTAATCATTATAAACTGGGCCTTCAAAAAGTGAGAAATGGGGAGGGAGATTCTTTTTTTTTTAAAAATTCCAAATTGTACTGTGAGACCATGAAATATCCTCTCACATGGATGTTGTAGAGATCCAACGAAGAGATGAATTTTGTCCCTGTGTCTGCAAAGATGAGCATGATTGGCGCCACCCAACCGAGGTTGCTGGTCGGAGACACTCTGATGCTAAAGTTAGCTCTTTTATTGGAAGAATGAATGTATAGAAATCAAGAGTGTTTGTGTGCTGTGTGGGGGAGAGAGATTACTTGCCTCCTTCTCTGAGGTGCCTCCCTCTTTATATAGATGGAGGGGTCTGATATTTGTTTGGGTTAAACCCCTTGTAGGCCTTGTTTGGTTTAGTCCCAATAAGTTAATTTATTATTTTCTGGCTCCCACAATTGCCCCAAAACTTTCATTGTCTGTGGTAGAAGGAATGAGAGTTTTTCTTGTTGAGTTACTCTGTTCAAATAAATGTTAGGTCTCTTGACAAAGAATACAATTGATAAATAAATAACATGAATACAGTTGATGAATGAATAACATAAATGAATGAATGAATGATTGGATGAATGTATGTATGTATGAATGTATGCACAAATATATGTGGCACATCCAATAATGCGCGGCACGATGGGACCATATAGGTCTAACATAAGGACCCCTTGGGTCTACATCCGATATCTCTGTAACGATGGGCCACGGTATTGTTACCTCCGGGCAAGGGCCACAGGCCGTGGTATTATAACTCCCGGGCGAGGGTGTAAGCCACAATATTATAACCCCCGAGCGAGGGTGTAGGCCACGGTATTATGTCCCTTGGGTGAGGGTGTAGGCCACGGTATTATGTCCTTTGGGCGAGGGTGTAGGCCACGGTATTATGACCCCTGGGCGAGGGTGTAAGCCACAATATTATGACCCCCGGGCGAGGGTGTAAGCCACAGTATAATGACCCCTGGGCGAGGGTGTAGTATATTGCCGAGTGCAAAGGTTGCTTCCAAAAATAGACGTGCTGAGCTAGAAATATATGGAGCTCCAAAATATGGAGTCGTTTGTTGGTGTTGGGCGGCGATCAAATGCAGACATTGTAATCCGTGTCAAGGATTGCCTGTACGAAATAATAGCCACAAAAAAGTGGAAAGCTATAAAAACTATAACAATGACGGCGTGCAAAAATATGCGAAGAACTGCCCAGTGTGTAGTATGAGTGTATTGCCCCAAAACTGTCGCTTGCTTGGAGCTGTGTGAAAAGGAGCGGGAGTTTGGAACTCAATTGTCTTTGTATTGCTTGTACCAAGTTGGTCGAGTATGCAAAGGTGTCGAGATCTTGATCGGCTGATATGGCCCAAATGGAGAGCAAAAAAATGACTAAGATGTCCCAGTGGGCAATTGTTTTGCCTGTTGTTAGGCGAATAAAGTTGCCGAATACTGTGGCCAATGTTGCTGCATAAAGTTTGACAATGCATAAAGTTGACAAATAATGTTGTTTAGCCGAATAAAGTTGATGCACAGCCAAATAATGATCATGCATAATGTTGAATTAATAATGTTGCCGAATAATTTTGCCGAGTAAAGTTGATGCACTATCGAGTAACTAGTGTCAAAACATCGGTGTCCATTTCATATATAATGTGATTTTGCCGAAAAGTTGGTCAGCTACACTTGGGTCGGTGACTGTGCTGATCTTTTGGTCGGCGACTTTTCTTAGCTTTGCGGTGTATCGGCATCCCTTTGGAGTTGGATTTGCTAAGAACTTGATTGGCAATGGTTGCCAATTTATTGAAGTTGAGTTTCTTGTCCAACGTATGTTTGCCCCATTACTTTTGAATAAGATTTGTTATTCGGAAGGAATAAAATTGATTTGGGCCAAAATCGCCGAGTAGGCCGATAATAATTTGAAACGGATTCCGTGCCCCCGTTCGGTGCTGTGTCGATATTGAAATGAAGCCGAGACAAAGTAGGGTGCTTGGTGATATGCGAAGTGAGCCATTGCGCTCAATTTGTGAATAAAATCTGCAATATTTTTATTTTATTATATATATATATATATTTTTTGAGCTGAATTTGCAAATTCTGATCGTACGGATGGACTTGGAATGCGTCAAATAGCTGGAAAGGACTATTGGATCGCTGGGAGCAGACTCCTGAAGGCGTAATTGTAGCCAAAATGGATCTAACGACTCAGATTGATTGAGACTTTTGCTCCGCGAATCACTGGATAATTTCCCTCATGGCTTGGCAAAAATAAAAAATAAGGATAGTATGGGGTCAACAAGACTTGAACCCTTGCTTTGTAAGGAAATAAAGAACACTGAACCAAGGTTGTTAAAATCGGGATCCTACGATGGATCGTTGGAGGTGTTTATAGGATCGGATCGTAGAATCAGATCGAGGATCGTAAGATCCTACCGAAAAAGACAAATTACATAATAATTTAATTTAAATAAATATTTCTTATAAAATATACACAAAATGAACCTATATTTTATTAAAAAGAAGTGAAGATATTGTGAAAAATATAATACTCTATGTAAAATGTATATATAATATTATGCAATAGAAAACTCGGTGGTAAAAGTTCTGTATTTTATCAAAAAAGAAGGTGAAGAAGAAGAAGAATTCTATAACAAAATACTTTACAATGTACAATAATGCATAAAAAGTGAAGAAAAAATATTTAACAAAATTGGATATGAAAATAGATTAAGAACTCAAAAGAGTAGCTTAGTCGAATGATAAGGTTTGTCGTTAGTATCCCTGGTGGAGCAGATTCGAGTCACAAAAATAATTTCTCCAGAAATTGGGATAAAGTTGCAATCATCTTACCCTTCTTAGACTCCGCTAAAGCTAAGTTTGTTTTTCCGACTATTTAATTTTCTTAAATTACCGCAATATTTGAATGTTTGTTTCCTAATTTGTTTTTCTTAGTCTATTTGATTCAATACTACTTAATTTTTATTATTTATTTTGACAACATAAATTGATATTTAGACAATAAATATAAAATTTACAACAAAATATGTCATACAATACAAAACAAGGCTTGTAAATTGGATCGGATAGGATCGGATTCGGATCGGGATTCCACGATCCTATAAGATCCCACTACCAGGATCGAAAGATCCTACCTATAAGGAGTTTTTTACACGATCCGGATCGATTGTACTCAAATGGATCGTAAGATCGTAGGATCGTAAGATCCGGATCGGGATTCTGATAACCATGCACTGAACCATTGTGCCAAGTGTGAACTTGTGCTTGTAATTTGCACATTATATATTTAAGCTTAATTGTTCGGCTATTACGAGATGTAACTTAGCCGCAATCCACCGAATATTTTTTTTTTTTTGGTCAGTTCCAGGTTCGTCTTCTTCAGCGAAATAGTGGAATTTCAAGGCAAACTTTGATCGGCCTGTATAGCTTTGTTTCAAGTCTGATTTCGATGCCATTTTTTGCATTGGACTTGTCTCAAAGAGTACTTCACACTGGTATGGTCGAAATTGGTTTTTGAGAACGTTGAAAATTGCAGTTTGTTGAAATTATGGGCTGTTGCGCAATTATCGGCAAGTGTCGGTCAATTTTTTGCTCATCTGGTTAGTGGCTTTGGATTCCTTGAGTCGACGTGAATCCTCTGATATTGTTAGATGTGGATTTCAGCAAGTCGAGATGCTAGTTCTATGCCGATGCCGAGTTGCTAATATGTTGAATGATATGCCGAATTGCAACGGTAATGATTTGCAGAGTTGCTAATATGCCGAGCAAGTTGCCGAACAAGCCGAATAAGTTGTCGAAGTTGATAATAGGCCGAATAAATGTTGTCGAGTGATAATATGCAGAGAAGAAAAATTGAGTGATAATATGTAGAGAATAAAAATTGCCGAATAATCAATAAGTTGCCAAATTGTTCGTTGGGCCTGGATATAAGTTGGTTTGTCGGTGGTTGCCAAATAGGCGTGTGTTAGCTGTGCCGAGCTGGGCTAGTACATTTGGGTTGCCGAAAGCTGGATCAGCAATTCATCTTTGATTGTGCCGAAAATATTTCCTTATATCATTTGGTCTTCGACTTTATTTTGGCAACGTGGTTAGTTGGCTATTTGCTATCGCCGAATGAGTTAATTGGAGTGGCATCGCCGAATTGCGATGGCAGAGGAACATGAGTTGATAGGCCAATGGCGACGCGACGTAAGACGGGTTCCCAAACTGCTCAAAATAGTGGCCGAGAAGTGCCGATGTAATAACTCTTGATCGGATTGGAACTTGGCGAGTGAATGGTTGCCGATCAATTCGCTACAATGGGATGTTTTCGGTGCATAATGGCTTTGAACTCGGCTTGTAGTTGGCATGCATTAAAAATCAGTTGCTAATCGTCTTGTTACTTGTCGAGAACCTTTCTTAGAGGAGCAAGGGCCAATTGGTGACTCTTGAATTAGCCATATGTTGTTCTCAAGCCGTTTCACGCGGACAATCGCGTCACCATAAGGATGTCTACAGCGTTGCCGAGCTGAAGTTGGGGCGAGTCGGCCATGCTTAAGTGATAATTTTCGGTGGTGGAATTGTATATATTTTTCCAGTTGGTCGAGTGCCGTGAAACCATGCAAGCTTATATCACATTGTATGTTGCTGAGCAAGCTTTTTGTTGTCGAGATGTATGGAATCATAAATTGAGCATTGTTTCCAAGGGAGCCTTTCATGCAAAATTGTTAAAGAAGTGCACAGCTTGATATAAACAATATAGCTATATATGTATGGCTGCCGAATTGAGTGTATCCATCGGGGTGCCCCACGGGAAGGTAGGTGGTGATGATTATTGCCCTGGAAACAATATAGACGCTTGCCAGCCACTCGTCTTGGATTTTGATGTGCCAAAACCTGCGATTGGCAACCTCTTTTTGTCGTGCTGATGACGCGAAGAACCGGGGTGACGTTCGGCATGGCATTGGGAATTTGCTGATCAGGCTAACAGCCGAAATGATTGCCGAAGCAACATAAAAATATATATAAAGCTTTAAATAAAGAAACAATTCCTAAATAAAGAAACAATTCCAGGCGGAATTTGGAAGAGCCACCTTTTGTATAATACCGAAATGAAACTCCCATAAACAAAAGTCTGAAACCTAGTTTTAGAGGGAGAGTGAAAATGCTCTGCTTTGTTTTTGCTCTTGTTGGTTTTAGCAGGCAAAAATTGATATTCAAAAAACAACCCACCACAACTGGCATCACAGATATATAATATTATATGTACGTAGATATGCATATTGCGAATCAAGTGGAATCAAAATGAAAATGAGACCCAGCCGTGGGCAGTATTACTTGGAATTGAGTTTAATTTTGAAGAAAGTGCACTAACCTCAATTCAACCAATACATTTAATTATAGTAATATGTTTATTGCGTTCTTCGTTGATCTCGTTCAGTCGTTCCCACAGATGGCACCAATTGTGAGACCATGAAATATCCTCTCACATGGATGTTGTAGAGATCCAACGAAGAGATGAACTTTGTCCCTGTGTCTGCAAAGATGAGCATGATCGGTGCCACCCAACTGGGGTTGCTGGCCGGAGACACTCCGATGCTAAAGTTAGCCCTTTTATTGGAAGAATGAATGTATAAAAATCAAGAGTGTTTGTGTGCTGTGTGGGGGAGAGAGATTACCTGCCTCCTTCTCTGAGGTGCCTCCCTCTTTATATAGATGGGGGGTTTGATATTTGTTTGGGTTAAACCCCTTGTAGGCCTTGTTTGGTTTAGTCCCAATAAGCTAATATATTATTTTCTGTCTCCCACATGTACGATGCTTTAAAGATCAATCAATGGTGAATGCATGTGGGGTTCTCAACAATTCATCTGTGGATGATTAATCTAAAAAGAATTGGAGTTGAAAATAAGCCAAACCCAATAAAAATGATTCAGTGACATTTTGCGAAACTGCAAAATGATCAAATACCATCTGTTGTTGTACTGCTCTGACTTTTTTAGAGGCTTCATTCTAAATGATGAATGTTGCCTTGCATTCTCAATGCTTACTGTCTCTCTTTACTATTAGAAAATTCTGTTGTGAAATGATATTAACATCTCAACCTTTTATTTATTGAAAAAAAAAGGGAAGAAAAAGTTCACCTTCTATGAGTAAATGTATTATCCATTGTAACTCATTGAATTTTGTATCCATATGGTGCATTTATTTTTGTAAAGCACACTAAATTGTTTGATTAGTTCTCTTTCATCATTGTTCCTTTATGTTTTTTAAACTTTACATATTTCTATTTTCCCAAGCACAGTTAGAGACGATGGAATATGAAGTGAAAAAGTTGATTGAAGTTTAGGCTGTCTTTTTTTAAAATTTTTTTTTTTTCTAACACTTGGTTTTAATAGAAAGTACATGTGGTATTTGGTTTAAATACTAAAACTTTGTCAACTATTAGTTTTAAGTAAGATCATCATGTGGACACTCCTCAGCCCAAGGACAATCTCTCAAATACACATTAAGATGTTAACCTGTTTTTCTTTTCTTTGTTGATTCCTCTTAATGAAATTTTCCATGTTGCACGGGATTCTTCAAAATGATTTCTGCCATAGGATTTGAATCGTTTGTGCAAGGTTTGAATTGTAAGCTATAAATGCTTAAATTTTAGGATTTGAATCCTTTATACTTTTTTCATGATATCCAAAAAATTTCAATGTTTTTAATTGTTAACCCTCGTTTTGTCAAAACCTCCATACCAGACTTGCAGTCTGTAGTTGGGTACGTTGTCATGTTATACTGCTCTTGATGAATGATTGAAATTATCTTAAATCTGTGGTGTTGCATCTGCTGGATTGTGCTTTTGTTTACTTATTGTTTACTTATTGTTGGGGTATATGTGCTTGTTAATTGATTGTTAGTGCTAAGTATCTCATGTAAGGTTCTCCACGGCTTGTGAAACCCCGGGACTTCATTAGGTCATAGAAGCTCAATCTACCGAGGAGGCTTGCTCTTGCATTTGAAAAATTTTGGAAGATAATTTCATAAGTTTGCTGTGTATGCTTTCACCTTCAACCCTTACATATTTCCCTATATGTTCAAATTTCTATGAACTTTTAATTCAAGCAACTAAGCCACATTTATGTTTCATGTTTATTTGTTTTCTTTAACCTATATTCCTACTAGTCCATTTGGTCACCATGCAGTTGAAATATGAATCTGTTCTATTGTTGATTTCATTACTTATGATAAATGGATATGGACACATACATGTTGCGCTTCTACACCGACAGAGTGTGATGGGCAACAACTCCTTGAATCTAGGTAGGGAAAATATGTGTTTATTTGTGAATTATAATTTTATCTGTCATTTTAAGGTACAAAACCCTGTGGACACAAAATGGGTGTTTTCTTAATGTAAATGGAAAAGGGAATGCTTAGCATGTAGACATTGGCATGTTTGTGTGTTTTGTGAATTTGTTATTCTTCAGAGACAGACATTTATGCCCACAAAGAAGGACGAGGCTTCACCTCTTCTTGATCTTGCTTCTGCTCTGCCATTGTGGATGAATGGCTCTTACTCAACAGGTCATTGAATTTGTGGAAACCAACCTCTCCTATGATTTATAGGCACTTTTAAAGGAAAACTGTGAATCTATTTTCTTGATTGATTGATGTAAAATGTATACAGATGTTTATACACAAAACTAGTTACAGATAACAAACTCTAACTAACTTTTATTCTAACTGCCTAACCACCACAGCTCACACAATTGTAACAACTTGTTTTTCTAAACACACACGACTGTGATGCACAAGGTGTTAATGTTAAATGATGAGGCTGCACTTGTGACATTGACTGAGATAGCTTATGCAACTGTTGTGGCATATGCTGCAGCTCAGGCTGCGGCTCAGTCTGTTGCTTTTGTGCCTTGAGCTGCAGGCCAGGCTGCGGCTCAGTTTGTTGCTTGGACTGCAACTCAAACCACTCTTGATGTGCTATCTTATCAGCTTTAGCTATTTATTGTTGACTTGTATTTTGTGTGAGTTTTTTTTTTTTTTTTTTGTTTTTTGTTTTTTTTTTTTTTTTGTGTGTGTGTGTGTGTGTGTGTGTGTTCTGCTATTGGGTGAAGTTCAGGTCGTCCTGGCATGTGGATCAAATCACATCTTTAAGCTGCAGCAATTCTGATTTTTTTCAGTTATTCTGACTCATACTTGGAATTCAATTACATAGGAACTACCAAGAGTTTGTGGTTTCGAGGCCACTTGATTTGGTTTACTGCTTTGACCCTGACATGTGTACTTCATTGTTTTTTTCTTTGTTGGGGGTGGGGTTGTTATTTAAGTTATTGAAAATATCCTGTGTTTTGCCTTCACACTTTGCTTCTTTCTTCCACTTTTTCTTCATTTTATTTTTCTTCTTTTTCTGACTCCACATCATTTAAGTTTACTAGTGGTATCATGTGTTCACACACTTAAATATGCAGTTGGCATGACAAAGCTATGTTGTTTGAGCAATATCACTGGAAGAAAGCAATGGCAAAGAAGCAGCCATATGAATTCAAGGTATGATATTTCTGTAGTCTTTAAATATGAAGTTTCAAATGAACCACTAGGCATAAAGGCACTAGGATTTTCTTATTGTGTTTTAATTGAACCTTTTGGTGTTGCAGTGGAACCAATATATGGACAAGGAGGCTCGAGACTCGTACTATTTCAACTGGCCTGTCTACTTCCGTTAGATTTTTCTTGCATATGAAGAACTATCTTGTTGAAATTTGACACTAGTGAGCAAAAGTAGCTTGAACATGTCTTTCAGTTTCTTATCCTTATCTATTTACTTAATACTGAATTACTAGTATGTTCCCTGATGCTATTGAGCTGTTCCTGCTAGAAATTTTGCAAGAAATAATGATGAATGGCTGATTTGGGCTTTTGTTATTGATATTTGATTCACGTAGTTGAGATTCAGATGGTAGGACGATGGTATGCGTTCATGATGAGATTTGATGGCTGTTACATGTGATGCCCCCTTTTTAAGAGTATAGATTTAGACACACTGATGTGCAGGTGTGCTTAGTTGTTTCTTGATAAAATTGCACCTATTTATTGTGGAATGCCTGCCTCATGGTCATACTAGTGTTACTTCAAAGCTAGTTATGCAAAAGGGCCTTGCTAAGCCTGGCTGTTCGAGCTTTGCATCGAACTTGTTTGCGATTGTATTTTAAATGTGTACCCCTGAAATTAATGAGCCCTTAAACTGGGAGATAAGTGGTAATCAAGGATATACTACTATGATTTCCTCTGCAATTGTCAATATTTAAATAAGCTGGAGGAGTGCCTACAATAGTTTGAGAATTGCAAATATGGAAAGATTGCAGGAGTGAATTGCTGATGAGTTGATTTCGATTTTGAGCTGAATTTTCTGGTTCTCATGTCAGGCTAATGAGCAAAATGATGTTTCTTTCTTGTCAGAGGCAAAGATTGATTTTCCATGTTTATTTTCTAGCAAATTTCTGTGCAACTGCTCGGGTGAACACTCTTCTGGTTCCTGTCTGTTATTTAGTTTCTTCTGCAACTCCTCAGATGAGGAAGGGACTGCAAGAGTTCCCTTCTCTTCAAACCCGTATTTCTTTTTAGTCTTCTCTAGCAAACTCAAAAATGCAGGGTCACTTGGGCCTAATGCAACAACAAACCTTTTTGGATACTTTTGAATGCAAAAACTGCAAAATGTCCTTTCACATTGTCTGGAACTGTTAATGTTGCTGCCCTGGTTTTTGTTCAAAATCATCTGATTTTGGTCTTCTACATTGCCGAATTGTGAAACATATACCTAGCTTTCCAATTGAAAGCTTAAGCATAATCAAGTTTGGAGTTTGTGATACCGTTTGTTGCAACTTTTAGGACCAAGTAAAAAAATAAAAAAAATTTGCTAATCACTCCAATCTAGACCAAATTATACGGCTTGGTTTGTTTTTCTCATGGTTCTAGATGTGTTTAGTTGGGTGATTTGTGGAGAAATTTAGAAAAGGAAAGAGAAAATGTGTGTGAAACTAAGTGAAATGTAAATATATTTTATTCATATTTCACATACCTTTTCTCTTTTCTTTCCAAATCTCTTCCTAAATTCTCCAATCAAGCAGAGTGTAAATGTGTATAGTTTGTGTCGTGTTAACGAGTCCCGTGTTGAATTCCCACAATCTCTTTACTTTCTGTTTGTTTGGGTAGGAACTATTTTTTGAATTTTTTCTTGGCATTTAATACAACAAAAAAAGAAAATCAATGAAAATTATTTTCTATCAAAAACAAGTTTATTTGGACAAAAAGTATTTTATACATTTAAAAAGTGAAATATTTTTCAAATTAGAATCTTACAAATGTCATCACATTACCATCGCAACCATAACCTCTACTACCATTGCCACCTCCACCGCCACATCTCCACCTCCATCACTTCCACTTTGTTGCCACGCCATCCCACCACCTCCACCTCACTTGCTACGCCACCCTACCACTACCTTACTTGCATTTTGTTGTTGCTATTGCCATCACCAATACAATATTAGTATATTTGTTTCAAGAACAATCAAGCACAGGATATATATATATTTTTTTTTGGGAAAATAGTTTTTTCACATAAAATATTTTTTGCCAAAATTAATGGAGCCTTAGTCCCTTTGTTAATTTTTGAAACACCATTATACGACCGAGTCTAATTAATTAAACTAAATCAAATCAAGCCTTAAGTCTCATCAAATGAGATTGATTACATAAATCTTGCTTCTCTACTTGACTCTATCAGAGAGTATTTGGTTAGTCAAAATAAGAAAATTCATATCTCTATTTATCATACTAGCCCACATCAATCTAGGTCTGCCCTTTTCTCTAACACTTCCATTTACCGTCACTGTATCACATTTCTTCATTACTGCTTCTGCTGATCTCCGTTGTATATGACCAAACCATCTCCATTTATTCTCTCTCAACTTATTTTTTATCAGTGCTACTCCTACCCATTCATGAATAGACACATTTCTAACTCTGTCTTTTCTAATCTTATTACACATCTACCGTAGCATTCTCATTTCAATAACATTCATTTTTTTTTACATGTTGTTTCTTAGTTACCTAACATTTCGTTCCGTACAATATTGCTGGTCTAATAATTGTTCTATAAAACTTTCTTTTTAGTCTAATGGATATTTGTTTATCACACAGTATCTCAGATACACTCCTCACAACTGAGTTCAATTACGACTTGAAATTTAAGAGTTATCGGAACAATTAAAAAATTAGAAGATAAAGTGAGATTTTGGCCCTGTTTGAGAACATGTTATTTTAGTAATTTTTTGACTTTTTATGAAAAGATATGTAGAAAAGTAAAGAGAGTGATGTAACAATTTATAATGACTTTTTGACTTTTTAACGAAAATTGAATGTTGCCAAACGAGTCCTTAGTATAAAGAAGGTGCAAAGTTAAATTTGTCCAAAAATTTGCATGGAAGTGTGTTAAAACAACGGCCTCCGAAGGTTCATTCTCCAATTTGGTTTATTAATATTTCCTATGGGTTGTTTGGGACCTTAGGCAACCCTTGAAATATCACAGGAAAAAGTGTTTGGATAAAATGTAAGTATTTATTTTTAATTTTTTTTTTAGTATCTACACAAATTTTGCTTGCATATAGAATTACTAAAGTTATATACTAAATTTAGTTGTACAGATTAAGATATTAAAATCATCACAATAATTAAAAAAAATAAAATTATAGTCTTCTTGTATTATAATTTAAAAAAATTTAGTTCATAACAAAATGATATTACTAAATCTAAAAAATTAAGGAAAACATTAAAAAAATTTTCAAGTTATAATATCAAATAAAAGTTAAATCAATTACAGCAAGGTATGAGTCAAATATTACATTTTTCACATTTTTAGATGCAAAATTATTAATTAAAATTTCATAATCTGTAAATTATATGAGGTATATTGTAAAATTAATTGGGTGAATTACATTAACCTCTCATGAAGTTAAAAAAAAAGTTGTAAGAGCATCTCTGATGGTGGAATGCTAAAGTAGCATAGTTAAAGTTACAATTTGGCGTGTTACAGTAGCAAAATACAAAATTATAGCAATGGTGTTACAATAGTGATATCCTATTTTGGCACAATGTCAATCACCTTTCCCTCTTTTTTTTAGGTGGTGTTTGGATTTTGCTTTTTGAGTATTTTTTGAGTTGACTTTTTTTTTGGTTCATTTTTGTTCTTTTTTTTTTGTGAATTTTTTTTATTTTTTTATTTATTTTTTATTTTTTACATTCTACACGATTAAACAAATAAAAATAAATTGAAAAGAATTTTTTTTTTTTTGAAGATGTATTATAATTTCTAATATTTCACAATTTTGTTTTTCTAGTTGTGATGGATTATTTTTTTTGTTGGGAAGATGATATATGGGAGATTGTAGTTTGAAGCAGTTGGGTTTTGCAAATGTGGAAGATTTGGCAATGTCATAGTTCTTGCCAAATTTAGCACAAACTATGGCAATGTTATAATTTGGCAAGTCTTTTGACAGATCATTGGAACTTAAAATTGAGCAAGTCGTGCCAAACGATGGCTTTGACGGGTGTTTTAGCACTCCACTAAAGAAGCTTTGAACTTCATAAGTTTGGCTTAATTATATTAGACTTTCTTATAATTTTAATAACATTTAGTTATTTTTTATAATTAATTCAGTAGTTATATGGATAGAAAAAAAAAATTATCATGTCTTTTACACTAATATATATGTATTATATAGTTTATCTTTGTGTACTCATTATTTACATTAATTTTGATCTATTTAACTTTACTAAAATGGATGTTAGAATAATTATGTCAAAATTATAAATTTATTATATTTTTTCAAATTTTAAATGTGGTCATGTAATATACCCAAATTAATGTTATGTTGTTAACATGGTATAGTATCTTAACTAATTTTATGGTGGATAATAATGCTTCATGTAATGGGGGTGTTTGGGAAGTTGGATTGAGGCTAAAATAGTCAATAAAGATAAAATAATTTAAAATAACCAATAAGATAAAGCGTTGTTTTGGAAAGTGCAAAAAAAGTAATCTTTTTTATTTATTACGAAAATACGTGCTAAAAAAAAGTAGAGAAGTAATGTGATCTAAGTAAACCAATAAACTAACTTTTTTAGCATTTTTTTAAAAAGGTTAAAATGTCACATCTAAACTATAATAATTTGTGAACTGTCACATTTTGGGAGTTCTCACGAGGGGAATGAGATTATTTCCAAGTTGGCTTGGATTATGTGGGCTACTTGGAAAACCCGAAATGCAGTCATCTTCAATCACACCCTGGTTTATCCTTTGATTGTTAACAACAATGCGAGGAGGGATAAGATGGAGTTTTTGGGTGCGGCATTGCCAAACTCTTTTGTGAATCAAAGACTGCATCCTTGGAGGAATGGTGTAGGATCCAATGCTGATGCTCCTGGGTCTGCCGACTCGAAGATTTTCTCTGATGTTGCTACTGATCTTGGCTCGGGTAGGGGTGGTATAGCTGTGATTATCAAGGACAGACGTGGTAGGTTGTTTGATGGGTCGGCCAAGTGTGTTTAGATCAGTTCTACCATGCAAGGGGAGGTTCTACCTATTCGGCTTGCTTGTGGATTGATTAAGTCCCTAAATCTGTCTCCTGTGGAGATTTTTGGTGATAATTTAGCGGTCATTCTCTTTTGTGTCTAGGAAAATGTCCCACCTTATTCTGTGTTTGGTTAGGAAATTTGGGAAGGGATTTGAAAAGGGAAAGGGAAAGGGAAAAGGTGTGTGAAACTATGTGAAATATAAGCATGATTTATTCACATTTCACCTACCTTTTTCATTTCCCTTTCCAAATCCCTTCCCAAATCCCCCAACCAAACACAGCATTAAGAGTGTGATA